GAGGGGCCATATCCGTCATTATGGGCTGAAGTTGTATGAAACGGGTATATAAACCCGTCACCTCCTAACCCTAACCCTAATGTTGGAAAGCAGCCGTCACCACCTCTCATGTGCATCTCAGCCGCCATGTGTGAACATTCCCAGCCGTCGTCGTCACTTGTTTGCGTTTCTCCAACCGCTCACGTCCCCGAACGACCGCCGCTACCAGCCGACTCTCCTGCCATCACGGTGGAATGTTCAGCTCCTTCGATGCTTCGTTGCCGACGATAGTGAGGGCCTAGCGGACGTTCTTCAGGCCGCTGATGTCACTCGAAGTCTCAGCCTCATCCCCGATCGTTGGTGCTACGTTTTAGTCCACAATTCCGTCGTCGTCGCTGTTCAGAAGGTTGTCCTTTCGCCGTCCCTTTTTCCGACTGGTGGGTGCTGCCACCCAAGTGACCAAGGTGGGTACATGACTTGCGACTGAGATTTAAATCATGTGCTTTCTACTCACGTGGGCTGAAGTTGTTGGATTGGGAACCAAAAAGGGAACACCGCCACCAGTGTGATGTGGTGGCTGCCATCGAGACTCAGCTGCTGCCGCCGCCATGAGCCACCAGGTGGGTGGCCGGACCTCTTGAGCAAATTAGAATCGTGTGTGTGTAATTGTAAATGGTATGTGATGGCCGGAAAACAGATAAGATACCCACCATGGCCGCTAGCCATGGTGGCTGCCGCCATCTACCACCACCGATCACCATAGGGTGGTTGTGTGTGTTTATTTTGCTTAGTGTGTGTTTATTTTGAGATCTAGCATTGTAAAGTGTAAATTACAATTTGGATAATGAAAAGAAAACTGAAAACCACCAACGTAGGGTGGTGGCTGCCGCCTCTTGCCGCCTCCTGCCGCCACCGGTCGCCGTGTCGGGTGGCGGTGTGCTTAGTTGTGTTGGGATTGCTTGTTGGATGTTTGGACAAAGGACTAAAACCCTAATGGGCCTATTAAACCCTAATGGGCCCAATGAAGCCCTAATGGACCCAAAAGCCCAAACATGTGACTAATAGGTGTAATAAACCCTAATTGACCTAAGGAAAACCCTAATGGGCTTAAGGACTTCGTTTTGGGCCTATTGGGTTAATATGGGTTGGAAACCCTAATTAGGGTTTGGAAAACCTTAATGCAATTAAACCCTAATTTGGGGAATTAATAGGGACACATGGGAATTATTTGATAACTTGAAATATTTAATAATAATCACTGGTAAAAATTAATCTAAGCAATATTGGACTTAATGGATTAAGTCCTTAGTGGATTAAGTCCTTAATGGGTTAAGTAGGAAACTTAACCCTAATCATCATTTTATGTGAAACCCTAATTTCACTTGGGCCTTAAGTTGAGCCTAAATGATTGGGATAATAATAGGCCATCCAAGAACAAGCAATTGGGCTAGAATAATTTAATGGGCCTAGGGTAAGGCCCATGTAAGGGGTTTGGGCCCAATTTGGAAAATTGGGCCATAGATGAGCCATAGTTTGGGCCTTTATGATTATGTGATATTGGGCCATTAGAATATTGAATGTTGGATTGGACTAAATGGTTGGGCCTTATGGTAAGACCTTATAAAGGTTTGAGCCTATTTTGGAAAATTGGGTCATGTGTTGGGCTTTGACTCATAGTTGAATTTTGGGCCTTTGGATTGGGCCTTGGGCTTGAATAAAGCTACGTTAGGGGAAAAGTAGTATTCACCCCCAAGTATATATTTATGGTTATGTGTTGGAACACAATTATTAATTGGGTGATGTTTTGGTGTTGACGGTTCGGGAATCTGTCATCCAGCAGCTGGGATTGAGTCTGCGGGACTTCAGCATGTATGGGGTTGGGTCTGCGGGACTTCAGCAGTGTGAGGTGAGTTACCTTCCAGTAGCGGTGGGTCTACGACCACAATGTCGACCCACCAGTAAGAGTTGTATGTTAGATGATTGTCTTTGTAATATTCATCTAGGTTTGCTACTACCTGATATGTTTAGGTGCTAGCATGATATGTTATATGTGATAGTGGTAGTATGAGGGGAATAGTCCCCAAGTTCGGTTGTTAG